AAAAACTAGCAGAGTATTCTGGTGGGTGGCTATTGTCCCAGCTTCTTGGGACGCTGAGGCAAGAGGATCACTTGAGTCGAAGAGTTTGACTATCGGACTCACGTTGTTGCTGTGAGCTACAATGCCACAGCACCCTGATAGAGTTAAGACTTTGCTTTTTTTAAAAAAAAAAAAAGCCAGTGTGAAACCAGTTACGATGGTGCACATCTGTGGTCCCAGCTATTCAGGAAGCTAAGGAGGGAAGATTGCTTGAGTCCAGGAATCCAAGAACAGGCTGGAAAATAGTGAGACCTCACCTCAAAATAGAAAAGGGAGCCAGTATGAACTTTAACAGAAATTTAATTTAAAGTAAGTATTTGGGGAGGTGCCTGTGGCTCAGTGGGTAGGGCACCGACCCCATATACGGTAGGTGGGGTTTGAACCCGGCCCTGGCCAAACTGCAACAAAAAATAGCCGGGCCTTGTAGTGGGCACCGATAGTCCCAGCTACTTGGGAGGCTGAAGCAAGAGAATTGATTGAGCCCAAGGAGTTGTAGGCTGCTATGAGCTATGACACCAACAGCACTCTACTGAGGGCGACAAAGTGAAACTCTGTCTCAAAAAATAAAAAAAAAGTATTTGGAAAGTATAATTAAGTTTTATAGGAATATGTAGGAAACGGTCAGAGGAAGAGTACCTGGCTAAACCTAGAAGACAAAAACCTCCAAGGTGAGGGTGGCACCTGTGGCTCAGTGAGTAGGGCGCCGGTCCCATATAGCATGGGTGGCAGGTTCAAACCCGGCCCTGGCCAAACTGCAATGGGAAAAAAAACAATAATAATAAGCGGGTGTTGTGGCGGGCGCCTGTAGTCCCAGCTGCTCGGGAGGCTGAGGCAAGAGAATTGCCTAAGCCCAGGAGATGGAGGTTGCTGTGATGTGTGATGCCACAGCACTCTACCAAGGAGGATAAAGTGAGACTCTGTCTCTACAAAAAAAAAAAAAAAAAACCTCCAAGGTGAGTAATCCCAAAGATACAGTGGATGAGTTCATTAGGAACAGCAAAGAAAGGATTCCAGGCAAAATAAACACAGCCAAGACCCTACATCCCAAGAGAACATAATCCAGTTGATGATCTCTTAAAATAAGTTAAATCAGTAGGTCTGGAACTGATAGGAGGTGAAAATAAAAGGGTATGAATTAGATCACAAATGACTTTAATGTTAAAAAAGCATTGGTGTTTGAACTTGATCCTGATAGATCAAGGCCAAGAAATGGAAACGACACAGAAAATTTTAAATGCATGACAATACTAGACTTGCATTTAAAAAAAAAATGACTTACATACAATATAAGTTTATTTTGACCAAAAGATAGAAGAAGTTAGAAATCTTTCCTATCTAAGAAAATAGGGGGCTCGGCGCCTATAGCTCAACCGGCTAAGGCGCCAGCCACGTACACCTAAGGTGGCGGGTTCGAATCCCCAGCCCGGACC